CCCCCCCATTCCCCAGCAGCCCCACAAGAGCAAGACCACTGTGGGGGCTCAGTGATCCAGGGCTCAACATGACCCCTGCCCCAAGAACATGGGGCTAGTTTCCTTCCAAAGCGCTGGAGGACCTGAGCAGTGCCTGCTCAAGGCAGCCCATGTTTGGTGACCACCCCACAGCTCCCCTGTGGAGGGAAGGAGAGAGAGCAGTGATGACAGGGCAGGCAGTGGAGCCTGTGGGACAGGAGCTGGGCCATGAGTCGAAGGTGAAGTCACCACTTGCTGACTCAATCAGTGCCAGTCACTCAGCCTTCCAGGAAGCACCTTGCGACCAGAGCCAGGGGAAGACACTGGCTGATCACTGGGGAGCCCCCATCCTGCCCCTGCCCAAGCTCTTCTCCCCCCGACCCTTATCTGGATCCTAGGGATGGCACTTAGAGGCCAAGCGGCTGAGCTCCAGCTGTGCCCTGTAGCCCTCAACCCGTACCCACCACGGCACCAGCCGGGTCCGAGTTCCCCGCTTACCAAGCCTGCGGGCCACATCGATGCAAATGTCCTCAGCACAGAGCCGGCCTGGTGCATAGCTGCGGTGCCGCTCGGGCTCATCTGGGCCGCCCCAGTGCAGGTGCACACGCAGGCCACTAGCTGCTGAGAAGCAGCAGCCCTCCATGTCCGACTCACTGCGCTTGGCTGCACACTGGCACAAGGGCATCGCGCCTGCACCACTGGGTCTCCCACCTGCCAGGGCACGGGGTGTGAGGAGGGGCACAGGCATGACTGCTGGCAGCCCAAGGCAGGAGAGTGCGTACACAGCTGCTTCCCTCAGGTCCTTGACCACTCCTGACTTCTCTCGCCCGCATGCAGCAACACCAACCCAGCAGGGGACAGCCCCATGTCCCCCAAATGTAGTCACCACGGAGGCTTGGAGCCATGGGAAGGTGCTCATCCCCACCCCCCTCCCCCAACCCTCTCCTCCCCAGTCTGCAGGTCCACACCCTGACACCAGAGCTCTGGGGCTTCCTCAGCTATGTCCCCCACCTCCCACCACAGGGCAGAAGGGTCCACATACTCCCATCCCCACCTAGGAGGAGTCCTGGCTCCAGCTTCTCCTGCTCTACCCCAAACCTAAGACTCTACCCCCAGCTCTGGGAAAGAAGTGGAACCCAGGCATCTGTGGCCCATGCTGCCCATGGTTACAGCAATGCTTTCTCCTGTGGGGCCATGTCCCTGCCAGGGCCTCAATGCCATGCCTGTCAGAACCTTCTTGCTGATGACTGGAGCCCTGAGGCCGATGGCAGAGGTTTCCTCTGACAATGAGAAGTGCTGGAGTCAGCAGGGAAGTCCCACACAGGCAGAGAAGTGCCTGCCTGCCTGTCCCGATGCTAAGCAAGCCTAAAAGGGGCCCAGCAGCTACAGGGACAGAGAACTGTGCTACCTCCCGCCCTCCCTCATGCATCAGCCTGGGCCTGGGCTCTGCCCCGCTGCATGCCTGCCAGAGCTCCAGGGGTGACAAGCACAGGATGCAGTGTGGCTGCAGAGGCAGCCCCGGCCTCCATGGGACATGGCCACAGCTGGAATCAGGCCTGACCATGCAGAACCAACACCCCCTGCAATTCATGGAATTCAGCTGTGTGGGTCTGGGATGGCTGACGAAGCCCAGCCGAATTGTGGCACTCATCAGTGCCCAGCCAAGTACTTCAGGGGCGGGGGGTTCTGTGGGAACCTCCCTCCCTCCTGATTCAGCTGCATGCTCATGTCTGGGCCTGAGCTACGGGTGCCAGATTTGCATGCTCCAGTCAGGGCAGAGAAGAACTCCAAAAGTGGGGCTGTTCCTCTTCCCAGTGCCAGCTTCCTCTTTCCTGTAACCAGCAGCCGCAGGACACGCAGCTCTGTGGGGTGAGTGCTGAAGCCAGCGATAATGGACATGTGCCTGGAGGGCGCTGTTGGCTCCTGGAGCTGTTACGCTGACAGTTGCCAAAGCGACCGGCTCCAGGGTTAGGGATCCCATGCGTCTGGGTGTGCCCCCCTTCCTCTGGCCCTGAGCAGGACCAGGACAGATAACCTGTTGCCACAGCCCTGTGACATCTCCTCCAGCTCCTGCTCTTCACCCAAAGCACTTCCTCGCCCAGAGACAAGGTAATAGCCAATTTCAGCTTCTGGCCTGACCTGACAGAAACTTCTGTCACTGCTGCAACTCCCCAGACCATAAGTAGCACGACTGCCAGGACAAATGTGTCCCAAGTTCAAGGCTCCCAGGTAGGGAGGGGGCTGGACACAGGCTGACTGTTAAAGCCCAATGGAAGGTCCACTCATGCCCTCCCCAAACCCATGGCCACAGAGGCATTACCCTGACACTTGCCCAGGCAGACACACCTAGGCTAGCCACAGCCAGTCCAGAATGTCTCAGCCGGCACATGCAGGGGGCATGCTGCCCCTGCCCAGCCAGGCCTGGCCTCACCCGGGCAAGGATATGGTCTGGAACACTCGAGGGCCATGAACACAGTGGTTCTGAGCTTCCAGGATGCACCCTGGACTGACCTAGGCCACTAGGATGCCCTGCAGCCCTCCTTACAGCCAGACTCATATCTCTGCCCCTGCTGAGTCATCGCATCATAGATCCAAAAGCCATGAAGGACCTGAGCTCATCCCACACAACCCAGCCTGTTGCCCAGGCTCCTCTACACCAGCTGGACAGACAGCGGAGCAGCCTGGGAAGGGCAGAACATGTGGGCATGTCTACGTGACCTCTGCCAGCTACTGAGTGGTGGCAGAAGCCTGCTTTTGCTGAGGGAGAATGGGGTAGGGTCACTGCAGGCAGCTGGAGGGGGGCAGCCACCGCAGAGGGGCCGGAAGAATGGACTCCATAATGCTCTGGGGGCAAGTCTGGCGCAAAAGGTAACACAGGGAGCAAGTGAGGAACGGAAGGAGCCTGCGGCTTCCCCAAGCCACAGGCCTGGCTGGAAGCCAGGAAAGAGGAGCACCTGCCAGGCACAATGACCCAAGCAGCTCAGAGGGGCCCTTGGGCAGAGCATGGGCACCATAACCAGTCCCAGCGGCCAAGGGGCTCCAGTCTGGTAGCCCGGTGGGGGAAGAAAGCTGCACCACGTAGGCAGAGGTCAGCTGACTTTTCCCCCCACTGCGCTGCTCTGCAGCAGCCGGCCTAGCCCCTCACCATCCTTGACACCCTCCTGCTCCTCTCCACCCAGGTGGGGGACAGCTGCCATCAGACTGAACGTGGCTGAGTACCAGGCTCCAATACCACTGCCCCCCACACTCCCCAGCCTCCAGCTCACATAAGCCTACACCTTTGGAGCCGCAGGTACACCCCCCCAG